AAATAAGAACCAAGAGAGATTATGTAAAGGTGCAAATTTCCAATGATGAATGTCATTATATTGTATACCTAAAATGTACCAGTAAAATTAATTTTTTTAAGAAAGGAGGGGGCAGACCAGCAGTCTGGGTCCCGCAGTAAATCACACATTCGCATTCTCTCTGAGCTTAGGGAGATAGTTGTACACTAATGAATAACAGCTGTAATTGCTGTTTTGTCTTAATAACAAAAACGGGTTTGTGAACAACTAGAAATTAGGAAACTAAGATGCCTTCCACATTTTGTTTCCGTTACCTCATTTTCACAAAGAGAAATTATCAGCCCCTAAATATTTATTATATTTGTGCATACTTATTTTTAAAAAACTGATAGTCCATGTCCTCATTATACTTTTCAGTACTGCCATTCCTTACAGTACCTTGTTAGCATGTTTGTTGTCATAATGATATTTTAAAGAGATAACATAGAAGTTTCCACACATAACCAGGAAATGCCACCCTACACAGTAAGAATTGTCAACATGTTGCATAATCAAATTTAATTCATTTTGTTAAATTTTTATCATCTAGACTAGTGGTGGCAAACCTGGCGCATGTGCTGCACCAGGCTGTTTGTATGGTGGAAAGCTCTAAAAGGTTCACTGTCACTGAGTACTGTGCTTTTCTGTAGCCTAATTTGTAATGCAGGCTAAGTATTAGCAGGAATAGGATATGTGAGGGGAGCGGTAATGGGCTCACTCTTTACTGTGAAGGGAGATTAGAGTGTATTAAATTGCATGCTAATGGGGCCGGGGATTTAGCTCAGTGGTTTCCCTGCCTGCTGCGCAAGCCTAAGGACCCGAGTTCGATCCCTGGTACCAGAAATAAATAAATAAATTGCATGCTAATGGAGAAGTAATGCAAAAGATAAAAGGATGACAACTTTGTATGGCTGTTGAGCCTGGACTAGAGAATGTAGTGTTGCTATTTAAAAGGTGACTATTGAATTTCCTCTGAAATTTGTTCCTAATGATATTAAGTATGATATATTCTAATTATTGCCTCCAACACATTCAAATGCTGTGGTGACGCTTGATTGTTGAGGGAGAAAGACACTGAACGCCATGGGAAGAGGCAGGAGGGGCCTCTGTGAGCCCAGGGTCCCCCCAGGGGTGTTGATGTCCCCTTCCATGTGAGTACTCCTGGGCAAGGTCCTCCACTGGGCTCCAGGGGCCCACAGAGTTATGCCTGGCCTTGTCACGGGTTTTTGTGTCTGAGCTGCCCTGAGCACTTGGAGAAACCTGGAATGGAGCATTTGAGGCCAAGCCCTGCACAGGTCACCTGGCCACACGGTGACCTGGGGGTCTGGGGCTGGGCACAGGGAGAAGCCTGTGTCTCTCAGCCTTTCCTGGGTCCACACGTTGGGACTCAGGCTGGGGGCACTGTAAGCTTTGGGGTGACCTCCAGCCCCAGGATCATCTCCAGCCAGGGATGGAGCCATAGGAGGTTAGGGAGGGAGACCCAGGGTGAGAGCAGCAAGGTGGAACGAGTCAGTGACCTAATCCCGGTGGAAGGCAGCTGAGGGAGGAGCCAGCCCTGGACCTGGTCTCTGCTGTCCCTTGGGGCCCTGTGCTCTGATGACAAATGCAGCAGGTGGCAGTGTGCAGAGTGGTTGGAAAACCAGCACTGAGAAAGCCTGCCAGCCTAGGATGCACTGTGGAAAGACTCACAGAGTGACCAGAACATGGAGCTCCACAGGGGCCTGAGTGTGAGGCAAATGGACCCAGGCAGCCCATGCACCCTCATTTACTGTGGGAGTCTGGTCTGGACCTGGCCTGTGCCAGGGTTGGAGAATAGATAAAACACAGAGGAGCCTGGGCCTCAGGGAGCCCTCTGTCCTAGGGCCCAGGTCCTCGGGGAGCCCACTGTTCTAGGCCCAGCCCTCAGGAGTCCACGGTTTAAAGCCTCTGGCTCTGGGCTTCCTTCCCACCCATCTGCCTGAGGGAATAGGAAGCCAGAGCCTTAACGTCCTGCCTTTTTGGCCTCAGTGGGAGCCAGGCCTTGCCCGGGAGTAACACAGAGGCAGGGACAGTAGGATGCAGCCTGGGGCCAGGGCTCTGCAGCAAATCCCAGAACCCAGCTCCACAGGCTTTGTAAACCCTGAACTTTACAGATAAGGACTCAAGCGAGTGTGAAGTCGGAACAGTTACAGCGATGATGATAAAGCCAATAAACACTAATCGTCCCTCAGCCCAGGGCCCTGGCTTTCCATCCGCACTGTGTCCTGAGTCCTGTCACATACTCAGGGGCCACAGTGCGGAGTTGGGGACTCCAGGGCCACACCCCTAATGAGGCAGGGCTGTTGCTGCCCTGGCGGTCCACCCTCAGGCTGGGCACTGGGCTGCAGCACAGCTGGTACTGACATCCACTCCTGAAGGTGGATCACCAGGTGCCTGTGCCTTGTCAGGCCACGTGGTCTCCACAGAGTGGCTCTTGCAGGTGGAAGCAAACTCCTGATATGGACGGCACCCTGGGAGTCCTCCTTAGATCCATCCCAGGGCTGAGCGTCCTTCCTGCTGGAGGCCAAGGGGCAGGAGACACTCGGGACACTCATTCCGAGGGGAAGCAGGGAAGGAAACTGAGATGCAGAGCTGGAGCATAGCCCACACAGGGTGAGGCGGGGCCTGCACCTCCAGCCACGTCCCTACAAGAGCTGTCTGTCCTCAGGAGTGTGGCAGGCAGCACGGTGGTCCCCACGTGGGCAGATGGGCTGAGGAAGCCACCTGCACTGCTCACCTGCAGGGGAACAGGTGCCACTGAATTATTCTGTGGTTAGTGCACACATGGCAGACATGTTAGCTTACCAAGCAGTATTACCAATTACATACCAGATGTTTTTGGATTTCTTAAGCTGAATCAAAATACTCAAATCTAATGGAAATATAGCTAAGTTTCGCCCCAAAATTGTTTTGTTAGTACCTCAAAATCTGTTGAAAGACCTAATGAGTCTATGAGACGTTAAATACTTGTCACTGTAAAGGGAACGATCCAACTTTATGGTAAATGACAGTAGAAGACATTGCTATCAATCCCCCTCGAGATGCTGTGCCTCACACTGAACACACATCCCATGGTTCTTGCCACTTTCTGGAGCAGTTCTGGAAGTCTTCTTTCTTGAGTGTCTTTATGAGGTGGGATCACAAATGCAATGAACTCTGCTGCTGAGAACCATCCAAGAGAAAGGCAGGCCCCTAAAAACATGACTCGTCCACCTCATTCACTGGATCTGGCTCTTCCCCAAGGTCTAAGTGACCGTGAAAGGGAAGCATTTTAAATCAATTTAGGACATCGAGGCAGCCAGGGCAGTGCAACTAAAGATACTCGGGAAAGGGGACTCCAGAGCTGCTGCAGAAAGTGGCAAGGATGGTGGGATGAGTGTGTGCAAACTGAGGGGAGCCTAATGTGTCTTTTACTGCAACCGTGGTTTTTTTTTAATTTGAACATTTTGTGCTTTTTGATCACCTCTCATGACCGTCCTTTGGAACAATATTTCTTCCCCTTAATGCTCTCATACTGAGCACTAGGGGGTCCCCTGAATGCCCAGAGCACCAATGGACACTGCGACTGGAAAAGGTGGTTCATATGAGGGGTCAAATGTATTGCTCCTCCAACGCGGGGCTCCCAGCGGTGTGGCTACCAGGTGCTAAGTGACATTTCTGTTTTCTCGACAGACCAGCAGTATTCATGGTCCCCGACGCAGCACTTCAATGAGGAAAGATACTCCCCCGTCCCGAGGAACATGAAAGGCTTATCTGGAAGTCGAAACCAACCACAGCTGTGCGCTGGCCACACGTGTGGCTTAACGCCCCCTGACGACTGCGAGCACCCCCGCGACCACCTGCGCCATGGGCAGGACATGCGGCAGCCCTATCTGCTCAGCCCAGCCGAGAGCTGCCCGCTGGACCACCACCGCTGCTCGCCCCGGAGCTCCGTGCACTCGGAGTGTGTGATGATGCCCATGGTGCTGGGCGACCACGTGTCCAGCAGCACCTTTCCCAGGATGCACTACAGCTCCCACTACGACACCAGGGACGACTGCACCATGTCGCATGCCAGCACAAAGGCCAACCGCATCCCCGCCAACCTCCTGGACCAGTTCGAGAAGCAGCTGCCGTTGCACAGGGACGGCTTCCACACGCTGCAGTACCAGAGAGCCCCAGCCACGCCCGAGCAGCGCAGCGAGAGCCCGGGCCGCATCCGGCATCTGGTGCACTCTGTGCAGAAGCTGTTCACCAAGTCACACTCCCTGGAGGGCTCCTCCAAGGGCAACGTCAACGGGACCAAGGGGGACAGCCGGGGGGACGACCACCACCATGGCCACCCCTCCAAACACAGCAAGCGGAGCAAGAGCAAGGACCACAAGCCCGAGGGCAAGCACAAGTCGGGCCTGAGCAGCTGGTGGAGCTCAGATGACAACCTGGACAGCGACAGCACGTACCGTCCGCCCAGCGTGGCCAAGCGGCACCACATGGACCACCTCGCCCACTGCTACCCCGAGGCACTGCCCAGCCCCTTTGGGGACCTGTCCCTGAAGCCCTCCAAGAGCAACAACGACGTCAAGTGCTCGGCTTGCGAGGGCCTGGCCCTGACGCCCGACGCCAAGTACATGAAGCGCAGCTCCTGGTCCACGCTCACGGTGAGCCAGGCCAAGGAGGCCTACCGCAAGAGCTCACTGAACCTGGACAAGCCGCTGGCCCACCCAGAGGTGAAGCCCGCCCTGCGGCCGTGCCACTACCTCCAGGTAAGGCGCCCGCCCCTGGGCATTACTGTCACCACCTCTGACTGGCGGGAAAGGGCTGTGTAAGTACACCGGTGCGCAGGGCAGTGCTGAAATGCGTGTGTGCTGTAGGAAGCTGGAGACACGCTCACTAGCGTGCACTTTGCCTCTCGCCCTTGTGTGTTTGTGCTGAGAACACCTCAGGCCTCTCTTTGTGGTTTTTATTGAAACGTGGTGTGTGGGCCATCAGTGATCATGCGGTGCATGGATATGATAGGTAATGGTCAGCGCAGTGATGGACGCTCTACCTTCTCCAACCCTAATCGTTTCTATGGAAACTTTCGAGCTCTCTTCTGGTTATTTTGGGAAATATTTTCCTGTAACCCAGAGCTACCCCACTGTACCTTTGAAGTGTGCACTATGTGGTCATTAACTCTCGTCACTATGTAGTAAAATAGGGCCCTGAAATTTGCCCTGCAATCTAAGCGCCCTTTGACCAACATCTCCCCAGCCCAGCCCGGTAGCCGGCCTCCGTGCTCTGCTTCTGTGGGCTCCAGTGTTTTAGCATTCACAGGGCTGGGGCTGTGTGCCTAGCTTGTTTGTCTTGCACAATGGCCTCCATGTCCACCCACGTTGTTGGAAACGGGAGTTTCCGTCTCTTTTGAGGCTGAGTAGTATTCCATGTGTCCTTGTACCACATCTTCCTATCACTCACAAACTCACGGACCCTGAGGTAGCTGCAGTGATCCCAGGCAGCTTTGGTAGGAAGCCGCAGAGAGTAACGTTGGCTGTCGGGGCCTCTCAGGACTCCACTGGTCCGTGCCTGTAAACACGGTGGGTCGTTCCTCAAGGCCCCGAAGGCTGAGGGATTCAGCAGCAGCCATAGAGGTGCCCTGGCCCCGCGGCATGTGGGCCCCTGAAGCTGCCAGTGGCGGTGGGATGGCCTCTCTCCGGAGCTGGGTCCGACCTGGCAGCAGTGCCTTGGACTCCAAGGTACAGGAAATCGGTGTCTCTCTGGGGTGGGGCTGAGATTAATTTACCAAGGACAGGACAGTGGCTGGCAGAGTGGGCACGCTGCAGATCCCTGCGCTTTACACAGCTCCCTCTCTGACTCCTCGTCGTGCCATTACCCATTGCCAGGGATGCTGGGAAGCTCCAGCTGCAGGGGTGCCTGCCAGCAGGACCAGGGAGTCACGGGCCTCTTGCCTCTCGCATTGTATCATGTGCCCTCGCCTCCACGCATCTGTCTGGCTTGCCTGGGAGCAGGTCCCATGCCCGTCGGTCTGGAGAAATCCTCCGGAAAGCGTGGTAGTGGTGCTGGATCCCCGCTGAGCTGCCAGGCGGCAGATTAGCAGAGCAGAGACGGCCGGGAACCGGCGCGGCGCCCGTGATGCGGCCCTGCCCAGCCCAGCTCCTCCTGTGCCTTGTCCCGCTCTCGGGCCAGCTCTGAAGGAGACGCTGACCACATCCCAGGTGGAGACAGGCCTACTCAGACACAGATTGCTAGTTGGGGAAAATGCCATTTTGATAGCAGGGAAGAGGCTTGAAGTTTTCCTGTAGGTGGTGAGCTTTAGCCTCCGCATGTAGACTTGTCTCTCCTTAGCTAACGGGACTCGGTGAACAGACCTGGGTCCACACTCTGGCTGTGTCATTGCAGACGCACTCTTGCCTTTTCTGTTTCCCTGAGAAATGTCTGCTTTGGTGTCTCGTGAACATGACAGGATGATGCTACCACCCTGGCGTTTCACCGCCGGGCTGCCGGGCCCTCCCGCTTGCTGCCCTGTGGCTCCCAGCACAGCCCTGTCCGGGCAGCTCAGGCCCACACAGCCTGCGTGAGTGTTCAGCCATGAGAAATGCCACTGGTCCACAAGAGTCAGCATCACAAGACGGAGCCCATGCCTGTCCCCGCTGACCGAAGCCCTCCGAGCGGGTCAGTCTTGTTTCCCCTGCTCCTCACCGGTCCCTCCCAGACCCGCCCCCCAGACCACATAGCTGGGCTGTAAACACCTCCGTTCTCATCTCTGAAAGATCCACTGGCAGACAGGACTCCTTCTGAAACAGGTCCACAATACCAATCGCATATTCCGAACGGTAATTCTTCAGTGTTTTCCAAATTGAGTCACTATGCAAATTTCCCAAGTTGTGGCCTTCTTCTTAGCAGGTCTATCTGCATCAGGATCCGGAGGAGGGGCCTCAGTGGGGCTGAAGATCTGAGTCCCTTCCCCTCTGCCTCTCTCCTCCCTTCTCCGCCTTTGGGCTGGTGTATTTTTTAACTGCCTTGGGTTTGGCAGCAGTGTGCTGGCCCTTGGCCTGCAGTCTGGACTCTGTCCAGTGTCACTGCAGATGCTCCTCTGCCCTCTGTCTCCGAAGGTCCCCAGCGCTGCTGTGCTTGGACCCTGCCCATGGCTCCTGCTGTGCCGTGTTGGTCACAGTCATTGCTCTCAGCTGGCCTTGCAGGGCATGGGGAAGCCTCGTCTAGAACCACATCTCCCCTGGTCCCCCGCTCTGCCTGGGCCTGAGCCACAATGAGCCAGCAGTTGAGCAGCATCTGAGAAGGGGTCAGGCGAGCTATGGTCTTAGCAAAGTGCATTTTCCAGGCTCCCAAACAGTGTGTCTGTTTGTAGTACGATGAAAGACAAAAATGACAAGCTGTGACCTGATACTGTGAAAAGATGCAACTCAGTGGAAGGAAGCATTAGAGTGAAGTCCCCTGGAATTAAGTACGTACTGTGTGAGCGCCAGAGAGAGCATGGTCACGTGGCCCTGCCTCGCACTGCACCCTGTGATGAGCAGTCGGGTCTCCAGCAGACGTGGCCAGGGGTGGTCTTCACTCCATCCAGCTCACATCCTGCGAAGTTAATCTGTACACCATCATCCCAAGGCCAGGCAGGGCCCTTGCCTCAGGATGGGCGGGTTGGGGGCCCCAGGAAGCACCCCAGAGCCGTCATTCACGAGGGCCCCTCCCTCCAGCAGCAAGCCACCTCCCCTTCACCCCAGCGAGGCAGCAGTGCTGCCTTCCATCCTCATGGTCCCCAGTGGTCACCCGCCTTGTGGTGAAGCAGTGATGGAGGCCGCACACCACTGTGCGCGAGTCTCCTCAGGGCATGTCCCAGGACTCCGTAGAAGGGATGTCCAGCGCCTTCAAAGACATTGCCCTGCTGACCACTTTACACTCCCTGATGGGAAGTCGTAGGTTTCCGGGTCATCACCAGCCCAGCTTTGACTTCAGAACTGCAGTTTAGTTCAGGGAACTAACAGATTTGTCTGTAAGTGCTGCTGTAAAGTAAAGATTAGAAGAGCAGGAAGGGAGATGCAAATGTTCAGAAGCTCCATTCATTTTCTCTCCAAAAACTAGATCTCTGCGTGAACAGAGGATCGCGTTTTATTTCCACCTTCAGCCTGTTCTGAGCTTGTAGTTAACATTGCAAGAAGATGGTAAGTAGGTCAAACACTGTGCACAGAACCAGAAGGAATCCGGGCCTGTATTATTCCTCCCCGCGCTCTTGTTCTCTGTTTTCTGCATCAGCAGACGTACCACCTAAGGCCGTGCTTCGATGCCCATGCTTCCGATGTCTGATGCTGGGACACTGGCCGGGGGCTCAGTGCAGCCTGGTCTGGGGTGAACAGCTCCCCAGGGGCCTCCAGGGGAGGCATTCACCTGCACCCCATGCACTTCCACCCTGTCCCCTGGCTGTTCTGCCCCTGTGTCTGACGTAGGACGACCCTCACCAGCCCTTGGGGCACTGCCCAGCCCACCTCCCTCTCCCAGGAGGCAGAGAGGGGTCGCTTTCTACACTGAACGCCTCCGTTTTACCACATCCAGAAGCCCGGGAAGGAAGGTAGCTCTGGTGGGAGATGGCTTGTGGGACTCGCTGCTGTCATGTTTTGTTTGGCCGTTCCCTATGTCCTTTCCTCTCTTGTTTGTTTGTATGGTTTGGGATTCTTTCTGTATTAAAAGTTTGCTTCTGTTCTGCATCTGCTTTTCTCATGGGTTTGCACTCCAGCGTGTTTGCACAATGCTCAGTGTCTGGATGAGGGATTCTCAGGAGCATTTGCTGCAGGGTAGCAATTCCCTCAGGTTTGCTTGTCTTAGAAAGACTACTTCCCTTTGCTTTGGAAAACTAGCTTTCCTGGATATAGTGCTCTTGGTTGGCAGGTTTTTCCTTATTTTCTATCTTTTATTTTGCACTGTAAATTATTTATACTTTTGATTTCTCATATAAGAGAAGCCATGTGATACCTAAGCTGTGGCAGGCAGACTTTTGTTTTGGTTTTTTTCTTCGGGATGTGGAATGCGTCACCCTATTCTCTCCTGGCCTGTACAGTAGCTGCAGAGAAATCTGCTCTGAGTCTAATGAGGTTTCTCTTGATACGACTCGACGCTTTTCTCTTGCTAACTGTAGAATTATCTGTCTTGTACTGTTCACGGTTTGACTGTATTATGCCATGTAAAAGACTTTTATTTAGTCAAATTTATTGTGAGTCCTTTGAGATCCATGGATCTAGATGTGCACATTTTCCCAAAATTGGGGAACATTTTACTTACTATTTTGTTGAATCTTTTCTATGCCTTTTTTCTCCTCAGCTCCTTCTGCAGTACCCATAATTCAAATATTTGTTTGTTTAATAGTGCTCTAGAGTTTTCCAGGCTTTATTAGCTCTATTTAATTCCATTTGTTTGGGTTACTTCGAAGGCCCTGTCTTCAAGTTCAGAAATTCCTATCCTGCTTGACGTGCCTGTTTTGGGGCTCTTGGCAGCATTTTCAGCCCTTATATTGTGTTCTTCAGCGCTGAGATTCATCTGGGTCTTTTTAGCGACCCCTCCCTCTGCTGAATTCCTCCTTCGGCTCTGAATTGCTTTGGTGGCGCACTGGCTGTCAGTGGTCCCTGGTGTCTTGCTGGGTTTTCCTGCAGTTGCATGAACTCTGGCTCAGGCGGGTCCCGAGTCCCTGCCTCTGTCCTGGCTGGCCCTTGCTCTGGCAGTGTGTCCTCGGCCCTAGTTTCACGGTGGCTTCCCGGTGTGC